AGCAGGAAGTGTAACCTGTCTATGTAGTGGTTTGGGACAATGTCAGCTTTCACCATGGTGTCCAAATACACAAGTGGTTCAACAACAACCAGCAATTTTTAAATGTGTTCCTTCCACCATACAGCCCTTTCCTCAACCCAACAGAAGAGTTTTTCTCAGCATGGCGGTGTGCAAGTCTATGGCTGAAACTCGTATACCAGGGAAAATTTGTTATGTTATGGCAATGGAACTGGCCTGTGGTGACATAGACGTGCAGTCTTGTCAAGGCTGGATCTGCCACACCAGAGGGTTTTTTGCCCATTGCCTTGGAAGGGACAACATTGCCTGTGACGTAAATGAAGCCCTCTGGCCGGGCCCAGCTCAAAGCCATGATCCTGAGGCAGAATAATCTTTCTGATGTGTTTTTCTTCTACTCTTTTGATAGTAACATGGTTATTAGTAAATTCACCATACTTAGGTGTGATTTCTTTTGTTTTGTGTGTTTTTTACTATACACAAACTTTTTTTTTGTAACTACATGCCCTGGATGCTGTGTTCTCCATTTTTTGATGTAGAGTCTAATAAATGAGCTGCAGTGTGTATATGATTGACTCATGTGTGTATGATCTGAAAGCATTGTTTGATTTTGCCAGAAGAGTCAGAGGTTTTGTGAATTTAGTTTGAGTATTTGGATTTATGTTTAAGGTTTTGAGAAAATGAGTGGTGGTTTCAAGAAATGTGTTTTAGCAATCTTTGACTTAATTATGAATTTTAATTGATTGTACTTGAGGAACTGTTCTCTCTGAACTCTGAACCTCTCTGAACACCACACATTTACCTGACAGAGGCCCTTCAAATTCACAATAAAGAAAAACACAAATGTAGCACTTGCTATTGTAGAGTCAACAAGTACTTTAGCACAGAAGTTCTCAAGAAGGAGATTCGCTTTCGTTTTTTCACCTCCAGTTCAGTTCATGGGGGGGGGGGATTAGCTCAGTGCTGAAACGTGCTGTGACCTGAACTAATTCAGGTCACAGCAGACCTCAACAACCACAAGTTTCCTTTTATGATTGTTTCTATCTTGTCAAACTGTCTCTTCTTTATTATATAATAGCAATGAGCAGTCTTATCTTACACCCAGTGTTTAACTTCTCTAACTACTTACGGAACCCTGAACTCACTGAGGAGCAGCTGTCAGATCAAGGCCTTTAACCTGAAGGGTTCATCTTTTCACTGAAGACTGGTAAGTTAAGCTTTCAAATCAACTTTTGAGTGTATACTTGTTTTAATGTTGAATGAGTGTTTACCATCCATGACTTGCTTTGTGTCTATGTTGTAATCCAGGAACAGTTTTCACAACTGCAGTGATGAAGGGTAACACGCTGATCTTGGCTGTGCTGTGTTTGCTCCTTCTCTGGACGCTGCCTGCTGACTCCATGGGGGTGAGTGGACCTTGTAAAGACCGGTGGACAAATTTTACTATGAAAGTTGTTTAAAAAGACACATGGAACAAGTTATTTAAACATAACTTGGGAACAAAAACACCATATCAGAAAAAGTTTAAAATACAGAGATCAAGCCTAATAAAATCTTGTTTCAGATATTAACCCTTTATTGTTTTGACAGTGCCATTATAAAGGTTTGGTCACAAAAACAACTTAGTGAAAGGCATCATTATTAACATAACCTGCATTTTGCAGTAACATATGTCTACATTAATATGTTCTCATCTTGTTTATTACTAAGAAATACAAGTTACATTTTGCAACATTTGGATTTACCCAGTAAAATGTGTAATGGTGGGAGTTTGCATGACAAATTTATTGATACGTCTGTTCTTAATCCTCAGAAAATTACTTTTACCATCCTCAACGTTAGACACTCACAATAATAAAGTACAGTTTAAACAGTGTGTTAACAACTTTCTCATTACATTTTGGATTGTCTAAAGACATCGTAAGTATTATTGGCTCTTTTAACCTCACCCAGTCGGTGCATAGCCCTACACATGAGCTTGGACATACACTGGACCTTATGATTTCCCATGTGCTGCCTGTTTTTATTGCTGGAGTATAATGACTCTCGATTCTCCAATCAGTTCCCTGTGTTGATCAGTTCCCTGTGTTATTCAATGTTAATGTGCCGCCACTGTTTGACAAACCTATTCCTGCTTGTACCAGACTTACAATCACCTCTTCAACAGCAGGAGAATTTTCTACTTGCTTTAAAAATTCTGGTCTACAGCTGATGGGGGATGTGTCCTTATACATGGAAGTATTAAGTCTATTAACCTCCACCTGTAAGGATATATTGAATTCCATTGCTCCCCTCCAGTGTAGACTGGCTAAGCTGAAGGTGGAACCTTGGTTAAATGACTTAACTCTGGAACACAGACGAAGATGTTGTAAAGCTGAATGTAAATGGAAGAAGGATAAACTTTATGTTTCCCTTCGCCGTTTCAGGGACTGGTTGTCAGACTATCAGAAGGTGGTAAAATCTGTAAAATCGAACTCTCTCTCTAACATTGTGATCAGTAATCATCACAAACCTCAGGTTTTGTTCTCTACAATCAACTCTGTTATTAGCCCATGTAATCTTACCTCTCATCCTGAGGCATCTGTTGAAATATGTGAGGGTTTTCTCCATTATTTTACTATCAAAATTGCTAGCATTAGGCAATTCTCCAGTATAACTTCTTTTGACCCAGCTGACCTTCCCCTGTCTTCTACTATTTTTGACCAATTTGAGACTGTTTCTTTGCCTGTGTTATCAGAAGTGGTTTTACACATGAAAACATCTCACTGTCCTCTGATTTCCTGCCATCAAGGTTATTCAGGGATGTTTTTGAGTCTATATGTCCTAGCTTTCTGGCCTTAATTAATTTATGCTTGACTACAGGTTTCTAATTTTAGACCAGTGTCTACATTATTATCTAGATTAATCAGATCCTCAAGCCAGTTTCTTTTAGAGCTTCCCAGGGCCAGATACAAATGCTGGGGTGACCATGCTTTTACTGTTGCAGCTCCTAAATTGTGGAATGGTTTACCTCTTAATGTTAGATCATCTACAGACTTGACAACTTTTAAATCACTGGTTAAAACATATTTATTCACTTTAATATTAATAATATAGTAGTGTCTGATGCATCCTTCTTTTAACTATTGACTGTGTAGTTCATATCTTTATGTTCCTGTTTTATTTCTTTATTGATATTATTTATTCTGGTTTTTACATTGCCCTTGTAAAGTATTTTGGTCGACCAGACGTTGCTTTTAAAGTGCTATATAAATCAATTTTGATTGACTGATTGAACAAGTCTTGGATGCACGTACAGTATGACACATGCATGATTCGCCTACAGGTGGCCAGCGGCCCTCAGCCAGGCAACCTCTCCGTCTGCATAACTGGAAAGACAGGTGACCTTACAGCCTGTAGTACTTTAAAGTTAATTCTATACTGTATTGGCAGCCAATGTAGTGAGCGAAGCACAGGGGTGATGTGGGCAAACTTAGGACTGTTTGACAACAGTCGAGCCGTAGCGTTTTGAACCAGTTGAAGCTTCCGCAGAAGAGACTGAGAGATTCCAATATAGAGGGCATTACACTAGTCAAGACACGAGGTGATGAAGGCATGGATGGCTTTTTCTAAATCGGCATACAATAAAAAAGGCTTCATCTTGGTTAAGAGTCTCAAATGATAAAAACTGGTTTTAACCACGGATCTGATCTACTTATCAAAATCAAAATCACTGTCAAAAATGACTCCAAGGTTCCTCACAGCGCCAGTGCATGCAGGTGCAAGGGCACCTAAACTAGATACCACAGCAGCAGAGTCGGTGCTGAAAATGATATATTCTGTCTTGTCTTCATTTAAGTGCAGAAAATTCTGCGATAGCCAGAGTTTTATGTCATGTATACAGTTTTGCAGCAGGGTAAATGCACCACAGTTGCCTAATATCAGTGGCACATAGATCTGAATGTCATCGGCATAAAAATGAAAATGAACATTATACTTATATTATACTTTGGCTTTTAGAACATAGTATTGTCTGATGCTTCCTTCTTTTACCTGTTGATTCTGTGTAGTTTGTGTCTTTATGTTCCTATGTTGTTTTATTTCTCTATTGATATTATTTATTCTGGTTTTTACATTGCCCTTGTAAAGTACTTTGGTCAACCAGACGTTGCTTTTAAAGTGCTATATAAATATATTTTGAATTGATTGATTGATTTTTCTCTTTAGATTCGTTTCAGTTTCACTGTACCAGATGATGACCAAGTCGTCCCACTGGACATGGCTGAAGATTCAGTTGATGACATGTACTTTGGCTGCAATAAAGAAATGATGGAATTAGTGGAACGTAAATACTTTAAAGAAGAGTCTAAGGAATTGTTTGCAAATAAGTGGGAAGACGCAAAAGACTGTGTAAAACAGAAACTAGGACAGAGAACGGATCCTGATCTAACTGAACTTCACCTGACAGCAATCTGTCTTTACACATCCAACAATGTGTACACAACCTTCAACAAGGCAGTCAGGACACAGAGGAATGAGTATACATCCTCATTTCAGTTTCACTCTTTACATTACTTGTTGACATCAGCCATACAGATCTTGAAAAAAAAACCCTGTCTCACTACTTATAGACGAACCAAAGTTAGATTTGCTGGCAATGTAAACCAAATAATTAGATTTGGTTCCTTTGCCTCCAGCTCTTTAGAAACAACCCTGACACACTTTGGTAAAGCGAGCTGCTTTCAAATTAAGACCTGTTTTGGTGCTTATTTGAAACATTATTCTATTTTTGGTACTGAAGAAGAAGTGCTCATCCCCCCATATGAGACGTTTAAAATAACTGAGATAATTAGAGGGAAGAATAACATTGAAGGTCTGAGTGATTGTAAAGTTGTCTATATCTTGGAGCATGAAGGGACTAAGAGCCAGCTGAACTGCAAAGTTGTATACAATACAAGTCCAGTGGTTATTGTCCAAGTAGGAAGCCTTGTTCTTCCATTTCTCAATATTCTTAACTGCTTATCACAACTCATTAAATGAGCAATTTAAATGGCATACTTTAAAAATTGCAACATTATGCTTAGGGTTTATTTCATCCTTGTTTGTGTATCAAAGTTTCATGAAATCAGTAATTTGTCATTGCACAAAGATGTGTGCATACTGTATATCTGTGTGCAAACATAAAGGAATACCATATCTACTGTTTAATGCAATAAAGTTGCTTGTATGCTCACAAGGCTACATTTCTTTGTATAATGTTATATTCACATCGTTAAACACGTTAAAAACCCAAAACTAACAGCTGGTCTTAAAAGACTTATGATACTGTCAAAGAAAGAAATAAAATAATCTGCACACACACACCAGACACATAATCATGTTATATTTTAAAATAAGACTTGAAGATACAGTGTTTATTTAGTTTTTTTTAAATGGACTGTATTTTATATAGCGCTTTTCCTCACAGTGTGTTGCACTGGCCAAAGCGCTTTACAGGAGATCATACACCATTCACACACAGCAATGACAGGCTGCCACGCAACGGTGCTGGTCAAGCCACCCGGGACACTTGCTCCGGGACACTTAAGCACGCGGGGAGACCGGGAGTTGAACCATTAAATGGACCATTAAAATTTTACATTGACTTCTCTAAATGCAATATTCAGCATTGCATCATTGGAGAAGAGGGATATTTTTAATTCAACCTAGTAAGAAATACAACCTTGTACAACAATGTACATATAAGGTACAAGGACACATTTTATGAGAATTAAGAATCACAGCATGATGTTGTTAGTGAGAACAAAGTAACAGTGTAAGAACATCTTATACATTTTAGCTTCATCAGTAAAGTCTAACCAGGTGTTCTTCACTGCTTTTAATTATTTTACACATAAAGTACTTGGACAAACATTAGATTTAATGATATGAATAAAGTCTATGCAGCAAAAGGCACTGAAATATAAGTTAAAAGCTTAGCAATTAACAGTGTCAGTGTTGTTTCCTGAAACCAGCTAAATTATCATCCATCAGAGTAACGGAAACCAGCAGCACATTGTATCAGAGCCGTCACACTGGCAGCTGCATTAGATGTAAGACTGTACCTTTTTAATGTTCAAAGCAGAGTTAATTTCAATTAAGCATGTGTAACCGGGATGTAATAATTACGCAAAACGTTTTGTTTATGTGCAAGTTAATTTACATGCCTGGTCAGGGATACCTCCACTCCACTAGGGCTCGCAGCTGAGCCATGCTTTTCTTTGTTGGTAGCCGGGTATAAAGAGGGGTCGCGCACCTCTTCCGCTCTCTTTCCTGCATGGTGTCGAGTGGAAAGAGGTGAGCGCTCCATCCATTTGTGACTATTTTACTTTTATTGTCCACCCTGGGTCGCATGGGTAAAC